TGCAAATTCCTCAACTCCCATTAGAGGCGAGCACAGCAGCAGCCCAATGCACCCTCATTTATTTTAATAACCTGCCAAGCAGACATGAAAATGTTAACGTTGGGAGGCTATAACATGACAGGATCCCGACTTGTCACAGCCACATTATAATCTAGTTAAAATACTTTCTTTCTCCTTTTCATGTCTTCTCAGGTAAGTGGGGAACTAATTGTCAAATTACTAATTTTGTTGGCATTAATATCAATACCAAGACAAGAGGAGCATGAACTGTTGAGTGAGAGGTTTTTCTTCTCCACCTTCTGCTGCTGATGGGGAAATTACCCTGGAATCAAGTAAAGAATTAAATTTGTATGATCCGTCGGCTACTTGGCACTAACCCATTCTTGCAAGGGCTGTTTGTTAATACTGTCAGCAGAGCCATTTTACATCCTCTGGCCTGTTTGTGGTTCTCGGTGTGCAGGGCATCATGATAATGAATCAACATTAAGCATTAACTATGTTCTATGTTGTGAACAAGCACTCGATGCAGCGTGCACCTGTATGTGCTCAAGGACTTGCTATTTAAAGTTCTTATACGTAAAGAACTTGCAACCCGGTCGTAGACTTTGCGCTCCTCAATTCTACATTGTTCCTATTGTCCTGGAAAAATGACTCATATCATCTTATCCCCCTGCCCTCAAAAGGGTGACTGGGCGACATGGGGCATGGGGATGCCATTTTGGACACAACACCCAAAACATGATCCGTGAAAGAAATAATGGATTAACTGGACTCAATTAAAAAAAAAAAATCTGCTCTGGGACAGTCAATGTCAGGAGCATGAAAAACATGCCACAGACTGGGAGAAAATATTGGTGACAGACATCTGATAAAGAACTGTTATCCAAACTGTACAAAGAACTCTTAAAACTCAACAGTAGGAAAATGACCCAATCAAACAATGGGTCAAAGATCTCAACAGACACCTCACCAAAGAAGATATACAGATGGCGAATAAGCATGTGAAAAGATGGTCCATTTCATATGTCATCAGGAAATGCAAATTAAAGCAATGAGATACAATTGCACATCTATTAGCATGACCCAAACCATACAATCCAGCAATTGCACATCTTGGTATTTACCCAAATGATTCAAAAACTCATGTCCACACAAAATCCTGCACACTGTTATTCACAGCAGTTGTTTTTCATAGATTCCAAAATTTGGAAGCGGCCGAGATGTTCTTCTGTAAGTGAATGGATAAGCCATGGTCCATCCAGACAATAGAATATTACCCAGCACTAAAAAAAAAAAAATGAGCCATCAAGCCATGAAAGACATGGAGGAAACTTGAATGCATATTACCACGTGAAAGAAGCCAGTCTGCAATGTCTACACACTGTATGATTCCAGCTCTATGGTGTCCTGGAAAAAGCAAAACAATGGAGACGGCAAAATGATCAGTGGTTGCGAGGGTGAGGTCATGAGGAAGAGATGATTAGGCAGAATAGAGGATGTTTAGGGCAGTGAAAATACTCTGCATGATACTATATGATCAATATATCTCATTAAACAGTTGTCCAAGCCCATGTAACGCATAACACCAAGAGCAGAGTGATGTAAGCTACGGACTGTGGGTGATAATGATGTGTCAGTGTTGGTTCAACAACTGTAACAAATGTGCCACTCTGGTGGGGATGCTGATAATGGAGGAGGCTGTGCAGGTGCAGGGGAAGGAGATGTATGGAAAATCTCTGTACCTTCCTCTTAATTGTGCTGTCTACCTAAAATTGCTCTAAAAAATAAGAACAAAGTCTTTTAAAACAGGCTCCATATCTTAACAAAAAAAGGAAACAACAACAAAAAAGAATGTTTGGAAACCCAACGAACCACTCAATGAAATCCAGTTTAACAGACGTTGAGTCCGTAAGCTCTCTCTTTACACTCGTCTTCTATCACCGTCTCACCCAAAATCCAGGGTCAGGTCCCACACCCTTCCTGGGAGTCGTGTTTCAAACCTCGGTCATCCTAAACCTGCTGTTCCCTCTGCATGGAAGATCCTCACCTTCTTCTCCGTCTGGACCATCTATCGAGACCCTGCCCAAACCTCTTCTCTTGAAAGTTTTCCGGACGTGCCCTTCTCTCGGCCGCATAGTCATTAGACCAACAGCTGGGCTACATTGCTGGTATGGTACGTATGGTGATTTGATTCCCTCCGTCTATGTGCACACATAAAATCAACGCTGTCAAGATAGGGAGCATGTTTCAGCCATGCCTGCGTCTCAGTAGGAGCATATTAGAGACATTATCGTGTTGCTAAAAACTGTACGAAGTAAAGAACACTATGAACGTGGGCCCAGAAATTCCAAAGTTGTCCCTCTACCACCAAGCCTATCAAAGCACTTCCACTGCTGTGTTAGCAGCAGATGTCTTAAAACGCCCTCAGGGGATGGGCTTCTTTAGACAATCAAAACTCCTTCCTTCCCACCCCAAACCACACAGTTGGGGACCAGATAACCCCAGCCCCTTCACGCTATTTTGGTCACAAAGAGGAGACTCAGGCCCTGCGTCCCCAGCCAGCAGTCAGTCTTAGACTGGGGAGGTGCCCTGTTTACGCCTGGGTTCTCCCCGAAAGCTGAGATGTCTGCTTGTTGATTGTTTGTTGTTGTTGCTCTTGTTGTTGTTAGTATTAGGCTTTATGGGGGAAAAAGTCCTTTCTAAAATTCATAGATAGGCAGGGACATTTTCTCAGTCAAGTAAATGAATCAATATTTAATGGCGTTTTTAAAAGCGGTATTTGTCTGTGATCATGCTGGAGCGTCTGTAACCTGGAAATTAAAACACCATAGTTGTGAGTTTTCGAAGAGAATTTAACCTTTCATGTGAGATGGGTCTGGCAAAGTAGAGAAAACTATAGATGTTTTTAGAAAACAGAGAGTGGCCTTGAGAAAAAGGAGAACAGAAATGCATGTCAGAGTCCTTGATGGCCACTCCACGCTCCCAGGTGTAGGAAGTGCGACAGAAAGGAGATGATGGGGCATAACAACCCGTGGTTTCAAGGTCACAGCTGTCCATGGAGACAAGGTTGACTACAGACCGGGGGAGGATTCCAGCTGCTCCTGTCCATGCATTCACACTTCATCCTTTCAAATTATTCGTGCGACTGGAGACGGGATTGAAAAGTGGCTACTTCATCCGGCCTGCTGCGCCTCAGCCCCTGGGTGCACTCAGGGCACGGTCCATCCAACATCTCTTTGGAAGTGAGTCTAAAGACGGTGCCTCCTTTGTGCCAACATTTCCCTCCCAAATGCTCTGCCCAGAGAACGCCACACAGGGGTTACTCCCAGGAGTGTGAAAATTCTCTACCCCTGCTGCTCCCTCCTTTAGCCTGGCAGAGGACTGTGTCCTTTAGCAGAATACAGATGGCCTGAGGAACCCATCTTACTCTCTATACAGGAAGCACAATGTACAAAGTGTTGCCACCAAAGTGTATGCATCGGCTCAGGCTGTCATAACCACGTACCGTGGGCAAGGCAAATGAAACTACAGAAATTTGTCCCATCACAGTTGTGGAGGCTAGAAATGGAGACCACAATGCCAGCACCGTCAAGTTCTGGTGACAACCCTCCTCCTGGCTTACGGTTGGCCACCTGCTTACGGTGTCCTCACATGGCAGAAAGAGAGGAAGCAAGATCTCCGGTGTCTCTTCTTCCGAGGGCGCCAATCCTACTGTGGGGCCCCGCCCTCAAGACCTCATCTAACCTTAATTACCCTCCACAAACTCCACCTTCTAACACCATCACACAGGGGGTTAGGCTCCAACCTATGAATTTTTAGGGGACACAATTCAGTCCATGACTTTAATTAATCAACTAGTTAATTGACTAACTGACTTTAATTCCAACATCAGTGGGTGCCAGGCAGGGATTTCTGACAGCTGATCACGTTTAAAGATAGAGTAAGTGATGAAGCAAGGTTGTGAAATTGCGTCTATGCAATTACTCAGCTTTTTTAAAGCTTACATATGTAGTAAAAGAAGTCTTCTCATTATCAAGTTAGATGTATAAAACTGATTCTTTTCATGTGATGACCTTAAAGAGAAATATTGGGACATTGCTAAGCCCTCCCAACCTCAAATACCAAATTTATTCAGCAAATCTTTCCTGATCTCAGCAAATGCTAAGTGTCTGGAACAAAACACACAAAAATTCCTTCTCCCTCAGTATTTATTTTTAAATTACAAGCAAAGGGACTTTTACGGAATGTCCCGAATTAGATAAAAATACGTAAAAACGGGGATGCATGCTTCCACCCAAGATGGAGTAACTGGATTTAACTTCTTCTAAAACCACAACAACAAATGGACAAAGTATGTAAAGCAACCATTAAAAAAAAATTAACATTTATTTATTGTTGAGAGACAGAGAGGCCGAGCACCAGCCGGGGAGGGGCAGAGAGAGGGAGACACAGAATCCGAAGCAGGCTCTGGGCTCCGAGCTGTCAGCATAGAGCTCGACATAGGCCTTGAACCAACGAACCACGAGATCATGACCTGAGCCTGGACGCTTAAATGACCAAGCCACCCAGGCGCCCCTGTAAAGCGACCGTTTTTTTAAGACACTGGACAACAGGCAATAAAGAACAGTGATTCCTGAGGACTAGAAGCAAACAAGGCGAGTCCAGTGATTGCCCTAAGAGTTTCCAGACCATGGCGCAGGGAAGGGGAATCCAGAGGAACCTGGTGGGTCCCTGAGTCCAACAGAAGGACCTGAAAATCTAGGAAAATCAAGACAGATAGAATTTATTTTTTTTAATATGAAATTTATTGTCAAATTGTTTTCCATACAACACACAGTGCTCATCCCAACAGGGGCCCTCCTCAGTACCCTTCACCCACCCACCTCTCCCTCCCACCCCCCCATCAATCCTCAGTTTGTTCTCAGTTTTTAAGAGTCTTATGTTTTGGCTCCCTCCCTCTCTAACCTTTTTTTTTTCTTTCCCCTCCCCCATGGTTCTTCTGTTAAGTTTCTCAGGATCCACATAGGATGAAAACATATGGTATCTGTCTTTATATTCAGAGTCCTGAGGCGAGAGAGTGTCCAGGAGAACTTTGGATCTGCAAATGGCGTCCTCACATACTCAGAAGGTGCTGATCCCTGCCTGTGGATGAAGAAACTATAAGAGAGAGGAAAAGAACCACGTGAATGGTTTAGAAGGAAACGTGCCAAACACCCGAACAGGGTGAGGAATACTACCTGTTCCCACAGACAGACTGTGAAATCTCATCACCCAAAGGCCATCAAGTAGAGCATCAAAAGGATGCTCCCTTTGTAATGGAGAAAATGCAGATCTACCTCAATACTACTCTGGGCCATTCCAGCAGATCTTGAAAGGGAGACCTGAAAAAAAAAAATCCAAGGATTTACAAGAAATTTGCAAAAAGGAAATTTAAAAATATTAGAAGAATGCAAGAATATCCAGTACCTAAAAAAAAAGGTAAGGTAGACATGTGTGATATCAGTATGCAAAGAAGCAGGACAATACAACCCATTCAATCCACTAAAACTAACCCAGAATTAAGAAAGATATTAGAATTATCAGAAAAGAAATTTAGAAAGTTATTATAGATTTGTGGCTTAAGCCACAAGATGTAAAGAGTTTGGAAGCTGTCATATCAGTTTTTATACCAACAAAACAGGCGAACAAACAAAAATGTGGCTACTTTTCTCGGGCCCATCAGAGAACAAGGGTTTCTGGGCAAGCCGGCACTGTGAAATCTGGACAGGGAGAAGAATCCGAAAGTCAGAGCTGGGATCCACTGACCGGGGGCAGCAGGTGTTAGAGCCATAAACTGGTAGGAAAGCTTACCTAGAAAAGTTGACAAATTGATGAGACTGAATGTAAGCGACAGAGGGGACGCGCCCTGCCTGGGTTTTGCCTCTAGGCACTCTTCCGGTTCCTTACAGTGAGGATCTTTCTCAGATCGGTGGCAGGGAAAAGGAAGGAATAATCCCTGTGCTTTCTGGATGAAAAAAAGACCTGTTTTCCATGGAAAAAGACTTAATAGAGCTTATCTAACCTGGACAAAGCATATTTCAAAAGAAAACTTAAGGAACTCCATTGGTTTCAAGTGATGTAGATCCTAAGGGACAAAGAGTGTTATTATGTAATGATGAAGGGGCCAGTTTTTCAAACCAAGATAACAACCCTTGTATGTGTAGAGGTAACAACAGACTCAAGACATGTGAGGCAAAAACAGATCATACTGAACAAATAGCAACTTTATTGTCATAGTTGGAGACTTCAATGTCTGTCTTTTAGTCATTGATAGATTAAGCAGACCAAAACCAAATCAAGCAAACAAAACGAAGAACAAGTCAGTAAGGACAGCATTGACCTGAACAACGGTATTGACTACCCAGTGTCACTGACATTTATAGATTATCTCATCCCAAAAAACAGACTACATGTTCTTCTCAAGCTTTCATGGACCCTTCACCAAAATAGATTCTGCCAATAAATTATACCCTAACAAATTTAAGACAACAGAAATCATACAAATCGTGTTCCCAGGACACAGTGAGATTAGACTAGGAGTCAGTAACAGAAAGATAGCTGGAAAATTCCTGAATATTTGGAAATGAAACACACTCCCAAAGAATACACAAATTAAAGAAAGCATCTTAAAATGGATTTTAATACACTAGATTGAATGAATATGGAAAACAAGCAGAACTTGGCGGATGCAGTAAAAGCTGTGCTTAGAGGGAAATTTATAGCATTGAATGCATAAATTATAAGTAACAATGATCAAAAACCAAGAGTCTAAGCTTTCACTTTGAGAAGCTACAGAGAGAAGACCAATTTAAGCCGAAAGCAAGTGGAATCAAATAAATAATCAGAGTTGGAGAAGAAATCATTGAAATGGAAAACTGGTTGGGGCGCCTGGGTGGCTCAGTCGGTTAAGTGCCCGACTTTGGCTCAGGTCATGATCTCACGGTCCGTGAGTTCGAGCCCCGCGTCGGGCTCTGTGCTGACAGCTCAGAGCCTGGAGCCTGCTTCAGACTCTGTGTCTCCCTCTCTCTCTGACCCTCCCCCGTTCATGCTCTATCTCTCTCTGTCTCAAAAATAAAAAATAAACATTAAAAAAAATTAAAAAAAAATAAAAAAAGAAATGGAAAACTGGAAAACTATAGGAAGAAATTAACAAGATGAAAATTTTGTTCTTTGAAAAAAAAATGGCAAAATTTATAAATCCCTATCCAGGCCAGGTCAGCCACAAACAATCTAAAGATGACATGATTACAAAGATCAGACATTAAACTGTAGTTACCACATCTTCACTTTTCACTAAAATTAACTCAGAGTAGGTCATAGACCTATATGTAAACTACAAAACAATGAAACTTTGAGGACAATAAAATTCTGGGATAAAATGTTATGACCTTGGTGAGGTAATGAGATTTTAGATACAACACAAAAAGCACAATCCATGAAATAAAACATTGCTAAGTTATAATGTATTAAAATGTATTAACATGTCTTTTAGGCAAAAGACAGTGTAAAAATAATGAAACATAGGCCACAGACCAATATGACAGTATGCGATCATGAACTTGAATTTAAAATCTTGGAAAGGAAAAAAAAAAAAAAAACAAGACAAGAAACAACAGGCCACAGATGTAGAAAATGTTTGTGAAACACATTTCTGATTTAGCATTTGTGTCCAAAACATTTAGCGAAGTCCCAAAAGTCAAAAAATATAAAGTGGGCAAAATATCTGAACAGATGCTTTATCAAAGAAGTCACTTTTGGAAAATGCACATAGGAAAAGATGCCAATAAGAAATCAGTAAATCAAGATAGCAGAAGCACCACTGCATACCTATTAGAATGGCAATAGATCAACACAAAACAGGAATCTGACAATATCAAATGCCGGCAAGAATGCAGAGCGATGGGGACTGTCATTCATCATGGAGAACAAAACCTTACGGCCACTTTGGAAGACAGTCGGCGGTTTCTTACAAAGTCAGACGTAATCTTTCCATACGATCCAGTATTATCTCTCCTAGGTATTTAGCCAACTAATCTGGAATCTATACCAACACAATGACTTCGATGTGGATTCTTATAACACATTTATTCATAACCACCAAACTAGGAGCCAAGATGACTCTATGTAATGGATAAGCAAACTACAAAAGACACATTATCCAGCGATAAAAAGAAATGAGTTATCAAACTATGAAAATACATGGAGGCATCTTAAATGTGTGAGATGAAGAAAGAAACCAGTCTGGGGGTGCCTGGTTTGGCTCAGTCTGTTCGACATCCATCCAACTCTTGGTTTTGGTTTAGGTCATGATCTCACTGCTCGTGGGTTCAAGCCCCGGAGTGGGCTCTACACTGACAGTGAGGAACCTGCTTGGGATTCTCTCTCTCTCACTCTCTCTCTCTGTCCCTCTCTTGCTCTCCCTCTCTGTCTCTCTAAACAAACAAACAAACAAACAAACAAACAAACAAACAAACTTAGAAAAAAAGAAACTAATCCGTAAAGGCTATATACTGTGATTCCAATCATATATATTCTGGGAAAGGCAAACATTTCAAGATAGTAGAAAGATGAATTGTCATGAGAAAAAAGAGGGATGAATATTAAATACATGAAATACAGAGGGTATTTTAGGTCATCAAAACTATTCTGTATGACACTATGATAGCACATCCATGATACTACACATTCATCAAAACTGAGACCTTCAGAACACAAAGAGTGAACCTCAGTATATACAAATTCGTAAGGAATCCTTTGGGTCTAGGAATCCCAGCATAGAATACAGAACGTGACAAAATAATTTGTATGACACATGTACAAAAAAGCTTCATTGAATGGGGTCAGGGAAATAGCACTGAACTAGTTCATTTGAAAAGGAGTGGAACCTGGAAAACCAAAAACAAAAGAAAGTGTACGTAAGCACGACGTACAGGCTGATAGAATTGTTTCCCATGGTTGAGAGTTAGCAATTCTGACATTGCTGGAGATACACTGTAATTGCAGTTAGATAAATGAGTGATGGCTGGAATGCCTCGACTTCCACCGTAGGCGTAGGACCTCACAGCTCAGCAAGGGAAATGGCCAGAAAGGGTTAGTGCTACAGATTTCAGAATGAACTAAAATACAGCCGATTTTTAAGGGAAGAAGAGAGAAGACACAAACTGCCATTACCTGGAATGAGAGCACATCACTCTAGATTTTACAGACGTTAAAAGCATATTTAGATAAAGATCTGTAGATATTTAAAATATCTGTAGCTGATAAATCAATATGATAAATATCTGTGGAAGATACACGTTTAACATGAACTAATTTATACTGTTAGTTGTCACAACTTAGAGAAAATGGAAAAATTTATTGAAAGACACAGACTATGATACCTACTCCAGATGTAATAGATAACTTCAGTAGCCCTATTAAAACATTAAATTTTACCTTAAAAATCTTTCTATGGAGAAAATCCCAGAGCCACATGGCTTCATTGGTGAACATAAGTCTTCCTTAAGCACGTGGTATTTATAATACTAACTTCACTGCAAAGTGTTCCAAAAAATGAAAATGAGGTAACATTTCCCAATTTCTTCTGTGAAGACAGGATTACTCTGATTATAACAGTAGACAAAAACAGTGTAAACATGGAAAACCGTGTATTAAAATCTCTCATGAAAATTGATACATAAATCAATGCATTATTTTTTCAACGCATTATTGATAAATCAAATCATCAATATACTAAATGACAATATATCATGACCATGTGGGGTTTCTTGCAGGAATTCAAGGATGCTCCAACATTTAAAATCAATCAATATCATTCACGATATTAAAAAGCTAAATTAGAGAAACGAGGTCATCTCAACAGGAACAGAAAACTCTTTGACAATATTTAATATTCATTACTGATAAATGCTCCCAGCAACTAAAAAGAGAAGGCAACATCCTGAACTTGAAATGCCAGCCGTAGAAATCCTCCATCATACCTTAATGTCACATCATCACTGAAGCTAACATCACACTTAATGTTGGGAAAATTAATGCTCTCTCTCTATAATCAGAAATAAGGAAATGATGCCTGTTCTCATCACTTCTATTCAAAGTACACTGAGAGTTTTAGCTAG